GGGGCTGGTGGGGAGGGGCGACCCGCCCAAGGGCAGATCCCACCCCTCCCTGCTCGCTGCAGGGGTCTGGAAGGAGGTATCTTGCCTGCACCTGCCTGGCCCCTTCCAAAGCCTGACCCAGCGTGGTCTTCTTCCTTTTTCCTCCAGCTTATCTTTCATACCTGTGCCCAGCTGTCTCCTGTTCCCTCGTCACTTTCCTTGCCCCTGTTTCCCACTCCAGCTCCCTCGGCTGGCTTCCCCCACCCTCCTGGGTCTGTGCATCGGGGTCAGCATCCCTCTGTCTGCTCAGTAACCACCCTTCTCCTCCAGCTCTGCTCTGCCCCCTTCTTCGAGGGTCCCCATCGCCACTGTCTCCCAGTCCTTGGCCCTCCTCATTTCTACCTGTCCCCAATGCCCACCTTTGAGCCACCAACCAAGGCTCCATTTTGGCTCCCGTCCTTTCTGTACCCGCCATCATTCCTCTGATCCCTATCTCATCTGCATCCATGCCTCTGTCCAATGTCTGTCCCCATGTCTTCATCCCTGTCCTCATGTCTATCCTGGTGCCAACCTCTGCTCTGCCCCTATGCTTGCCAGGTCTCCAACCCTAGCTCTACTCCACCTCTGTCCCAGGGCTCTGCCCAGCCTGTCCTGTCCACCCACCTCTGTCCTCACCCCCCATCTCTGTCCCTGGTTCCCAGCCAAACTTCACCCCGCCCTGACTGCAGTGTCCTCACCTCTTTCTAAGTGCAGGGGCTCAGAATGCTATTTTCTTCCTAGCCGCACCCAGGCCTGGATTGTTCCTCCCCACCCCAGGGTGCTGTCCCCTCCTCTGGCCAAATCTTGAGCACTCTGCCTGACCTACACGGCAGGAAGGAGCCACCAACCAGTCCAGAAGCCCAAGGGAGGTGCACCCTGCAATGCGGCTGGGGGGCCGACAGGCTGATCCTCCTCCCTGAATCCCAGCAGTCCTGTCCCATCCCGAGTCCCCCCCACCAAGTGGAGTTTATTCAGCAGCCAGAGATGGCCTCAACTCCCCTCAGGTGCGTGGGCCTGCTGCCTTGGGGGCAAAGCACTCCTGGTGCAGCTCCCGCCCGCCTGCAGGGGCCTGGAGGAGCTTGCTGAAGGAGGGGCCCCCAGCCACCACACACCTCCACCCTCGCTGACAGCCTTGCTAGCCTCTCCCCTCTGCAAATGTCACCGCACCCAATTAGCTTAATTAAACCAGCTCTGGAGCTAGGGGGACCCCTTCTTGGACAACACCCTCAGCCCTGACGGGGGAGAGAAGGGCTCTGGGCAAAGAGGGGCTCCCTTACCACATGCCCCCCACCCCCACTACTGGAGACAACCTGAAGGACAGGAGAGGGAACCACAGCTCGAGAGACAAAATGGAAAAGCAGAATACTGGAAGGTGGAAATTAGAGACAGACAGAGGGAGGGAAGAAATTGAAAGACAGAAAGACTGAGAAGACTGGAGGGGGAGAGAGAAATAGAAAAACAGTGAAAGAGGGAGAGGGAGAGAGAGAGAGAGAGAGAGCGAGAGAGAGCGAGCGAGCTTGAGCGATCAAGGAAGCCAGAGGGAGGATTTTATTTTATTTTATGCCATGTTCCCATTTCTCGGCTCGTTTCCTCGCACACTCATTCTCTCCCCCCTCCCAGTCCAAGCTCCCCAACAAGGTCGCTTGGCCACTTTCCCCCAACTCTTCCCTTTCATTTTGGCCGTCTCCAGTCTCCAGTCTCCAGTGCCGAGTGGGAGAGTGCAAGTGCCCAAAGCCGAGGGATTTGCCAGGATCACAGCAGCAGAGACAGCAATTTGTCTGAGATCAGAGGTGGGGGCACATCCTGGCACCCCTCTTCACCCTGCCAAATCTCATCTCCTCCCCCCAGTGCCTGTCTTTGAGGAGTCACTGGACCTAACCAGCCCTTCCCAGGTCCTAGGCTGGGTGCAGAACATAGGAGTGCTGCGATTTACTGGGAAGAGGTGGCTTGGAGGCAGTTGGGGTCAGAGCATTAGGTAGATTGAGGAGGGGCTTGGATGGATGGATTCTCCTACAAAGAACAGAAAGGTGAGATGAGGGATCAGAGTTCAACAACCTATTCTTCAGAGCTCTGTGGAAACCTCACCCTCTTCCATTGCCTCTCCTGGACTCAAGCCCACCTTTTCCCTGGGAAGCCTCTTCTCCCTCTGTATCGCCTTCCCCCTCCCTTCGCAAGCCCACCCTTCCAGGTGTTAGATGCCAGCTCAAGCTTGTCTGCCTGAGTCAATCACTGTTGCTGCCCCCACCCCCTCACCTGGACTGGGAGGAGGGCTGGATGAGAGGAGGAAAGAGGGGGGCGATAAATATGTATGACTAGCGGGTGGCGGCGGCATTAATAACCTGGGATCGCAGTGCTGCAGGGACAGGGATCAAGCAGTGGAGATTCTAGCCCAGCAGCTTGGCTCTGCTCTTACTGTCCCCTGTCGACACATGGTGTGTACACATGGGTGTGTGCAAACAGAGGGGCACCCATGTGCCAGCCCTCCTTACCTACCCCAAACAGTCTGTAGGCCACTGTGCTTATTTGGACCATTCATATACAATTCAGATACGCACGCGTGCGCACACACATACTCAGTCATGGGAACACAGACCACACTTGTTCTGTCACTGCATACACTCCTTTTTGAAAGAGCTTGACTTGACACAAGCACAGAGGATGATAGAAACACAGATAGGAAAAGTAAAACCACCAGACAATCACACACAGCCACCTTCAGACCACCACAGACAGACACACAGCCACAAATTGACACACACAGCCTCACTCAGGTCAACACAAACGCATACACAGTCAATCCAGCACATATACACAGCCACCACAAACAGGCAGACACACAGCGTCTCAAACTGATGCACATAGACACACACACAGTGTCACTGCAACCACACACACACCCAATCACCACAGATTGACATATGTACATGATACCCTAACAGACACATGAAGCTACTGCGGGAAGACAGACAGACAGACAACCATTCAGGCTAACAGAAGCACAACCACCTCCGACTGACACACACAGAGCTCCCCCACCCGACCTGCATGCAGTCAGGGCCACACAGAACAGCACGGTGGCAGCTAGCACAGGCTGACTGACACACTCTGACACGCTCCGCTCCTCTCCCTCCCACTCCAGTGCTAGAGCGGCATCTCCATATTTCTTCTCTGCTCTTTCCCGTCTCCTTCACTCCTGGCCACCCCCCCATACACACCCCAGATAATTGATGGCCCGGGCCTGGCCCAGCTGCTCCCGCCTCTCTATCCATCTTGTACTCGCGCTGCCACCGGCGCTGTCTCCCAGATCAGCCTCCACCTGAGATAGGAGAAGGTGGGGTGATGGGACCAGCAGGGCGGTCCCTCCAGCCCCCCCTCAAGCCTAGGGAAGGGCTAACAGGCGACAGGCAGCCTCTGCCACCACTGCTGCTGCCAAAGCAGGAAGGATGGGTGCCGGTATATTCCCCACACCTCACCTTACAGCAAGGGACTCAGCTCAACCAGTTCTCAGAGGCCCCTCCCTGCAGAACACTCAGAGCTGAGGCAGAAATGGACTGCTTGTCTTGGCAGAAGTGGGAAGGTCTTCAGCCACTTTTTTTTTTTTTGCCTCACCTTTTCTTTTTCTTTTTTCTTTCTTCTTCTTCTTCTCCACCTCCTTCTTCCTCTCTCTCTCTCTTTTTTTTTTTTTTGCCTCACCTTTTCTTTTTCTTTTTTCTTTCTTCTTCTTCTTCTCCACCTCCTTCTTCCTCTCTCTCTCTCTTTTTTTTTTTTTGGACAGGGGCTCTGTGTTGCCCAAGTGGAAGTTGCCCTGTGATTCTTCTGCCTCAGCCTCTTTTTAGTGCTGGGATTACAGTTGTGTGCCACTGAGCTAACTTTGGCTTTTTTTTTTTTTTGAGACAGGGTCTTCTATATAGTTTAGGCTGTTCTTGAATTCATTATGTAGCCCAAGCTGGCCTCAAACACAGCGATCCTCTTACCTAAGCCTCCTAAGGCAAGAGGATCACTGAGTATTGAGATCACAGGCTTATATCACTTTGCCCAGGTTTTGGTCTCTTTCTTCTTGCTGGATGTAGAGGGGGCCACAGCCTTTCCTGCTGATTCAGGGTCTTTTCTGCCCCATTAGGAACCATCCAGGGGCCAGGGTAGAGGACAGGAAGCAGAAATTCACTGCCTGCTCATTCCCAGGCCCATGATCTCTTTGGCTTATGGGCCCACACTGGATCTCTGTGAGAACGCAGGGATTCTCAGGTCATTCTACAGATGCACAAACTGAAGTCCAGATAGATGAAGTGACTCGGCCAAGACCACACAAGTTGCAAAGGGCCAAAGGTCTACTGAAAGGGACATTCCTGAACCGCCCCCTATGGATTGTGCCATTCCACTTAGTCTCTTAAGGGCTATAGAAAATGGCTGGCTGGGTAGTAGGCAAGATGACCAGGGCCGACAACAGCGTCTCTCTTTCCTTCTTTCTTCCTACGCAGGCCGTCAGTACCCAGATACCGGATTCTGGAAGGCCGCAATACCTGGAGCTGCGACCAGCCCCTGCCGAGGGGCTGGGCACTGCCAGCCTCTGGAGCTGGGCCTGGCCGGCTAACCACACAGGGGCGCTGGCCCGGGCTGGGGCGCCAGGGGCGCTGCCTGCTCAGAGCAGCAAGAGGAAGCCGTCCATCAAAGCGGCCCGCGCCAAAAAGATCTTCGGCTGGGGGGACTTCTACTTTCGGGTTCACACCCTCAAGTTCTCGCTGCTGGTGACTGGCAAGATCGTGGACCACGTGAACGGTACCTTCAGCGTGTATTTCCGCCACAACTCGTCCAGCCTGGGCAACCTCAGTGTCAGTATCGTACCGCCCTCCAAACTCGTGGAGTTCGGGGGCGTCTGGCTGCCTGGGCCTGCCCCCCACCCTCTGCAGTCCACGCTGGCCCTGGAGGGGGTGCTTCCTGGGCTGGGGTCCCCGTTGGGGATGGCAGCGGGTCCGGGGCTTGCAGGCCCTCTTGGGGGCGCACTGGCGGGCCCCATCGGGGGTGTGCTGGGAGTGCCTGGGGCCAAAGAGTCCCGTGCTTTTAACTGCCACGTGGAGTACGAGAAGACGAACCGCGCGCGCAAGCACCGCCCCTGCCTGTACGACCCTTCGCAGGTGTGCTTCACCGAGCACACGCAGAGCCAGGCTGCCTGGCTCTGTGCCAAGCCCTTCAAAGTCATTTGTATCTTCGTCTCCTTCCTCAGCTTTGACTACAAACTGGTGCAGAAAGTGTGCCCAGACTATAACTTCCAGAGCGAGCACCCCTATTTCGGATAGCGCCCTTCCCCCGGCCCTGAGCTTCCCACCAAATCCCAGCCTACAGGGAGCAGAGAGGGACAGCCCTCCCCGGACTTCAGCCAGCACAGTTCCCCTTGCCCTTACCGGGAGTGCCCAGGAGGTCGGGGAAGCAGCCCCCCTGGCCCTGGGCCGGGCACTCCCTTAACACTGTGAGGCCTACACCCTGGGCTGTGCCCTGCCTCTGCCGGCTGTTTGCCTGTCCCCCTTCCCTCCCAGCCTGCCGAAGCAGAGCTCCTGAGCCCGGGGCGAAGCCCGGCCCCTGCCCCCTCCCGCCCCAGTCTCAACCCTGCAGTCCAGCTCCACCTGCCCTCCCTGGCTGCTTCCTCTCGGTGATTTTTTTTTTCTATGCCTGAGGCCTACACCCTGGGCTGTGCCCTGCCTCTGCCGGCTGTTTGCCTGTCCCCCTTCCCTCCCAGCCTGCCGAAGCAGAGCTCCTGAGCCCGGGGCGAAGCCCGGCCCCTGCCCCCTCCCGCCCCAGTCTCAACCCTGCAGTCCAGCTCCACCTGCCCTCCCTGGCTGCTTCCTCTCGGTGATTTTTTTTTTCTATGCCGAAACAGACACAGACGGGAAAGGGAACAAAATAAAGTGAGATCCAATACGCGGCTGTGTGAGACCTTTGTAGGGAAGACGGGGGCAGATTGGGCTTGTGTCTGGTAGAGACCGGGCCCAGGAGCTCCTCCTTGGCGGCTGGCAGGGAAACCGAGGCAAAGAGCCAGCACCTGGGAGGTCATCCAAGGCCGGATTTAAGAGCGCTGAACGTGACTCTTCGGGTAGGACGTTGCCTGAGGTGGGGATTCTCCTCCTGTGAGGACGAAGAGAATCTGGTAGAGAGGACAGGGAATAGACCTGAGCAGGGACGACCTGCAGACTGTTTGGGACGACTTGGGGAAGGTGTCTAAGACCGTGAATGGGATGGAGAAGCAGAGAGAGCGTAGGCAGAGCGCTGACAACCTGCTAAGCTCCGCGCGGCTGGAGGGAGGTGGCAGGTTCGGAGAAGGGGGAACGGTGTTTGTGGCATCTGGAGTCATCGATCTTCCTTTTCTTTCCTAATTTCGTGGGCGCTGAGTTTGCAGACAGATGAGGGAGGGAGGAAGCCCTGGGATGAGGGGATGGGGGAAGGAAGGAGCGCGGGTTTGGAGGGCGGGGCCGTGTGGCTGCTGCTAGCCGCCAACAAACACAGCCCCGCTCAGCCAGCTGCCCACCTTCTCCACCCCCGCCTTCCGATCCCTCCTGCAGCCTTGGCTGCTAATTTTATCCGCCCCCCAACCCTGGCCCGGGCGTTAATTGGCTGCGGCTTCATTAGCAGTTCTCAGCTCTGCAGCCCCCTCCCTTTGGGACCCCTGACTGGGGTTGGAGGGGTGTGGACAAGCTGAGGCACCGAGGAGCTCCTCCTCCTCTTCAGCCAGCCTTCTGGAGCTCTGAGTCAAGGTGCCCACAGGGAGAGGGTAGCGTTCTGTCAGGGGACTGCCCAACATCTCCAGCCCAAAACTGAGTCAGAAATGGGTCTAATCCAGACATGCCCAAGAGTGAGAAGTAGGTGAGCAGAAAACAATTCTCTGCTGGATGTATAGATAAATAATAGGATCAAATGAAAGGAGGAGGGAGATGGGATTGGTTCTAGGTCGGACTGGAGGACAAAGAATGTGGAGATCTCCTGACACACAGGGCTTACTGATGGAAACACTTGAGAAAAGCTGTTAAGCGTGGGAAGGAGTTTGAGCTACAGAGAGACTTCTGAGGCCTGGTATGAAAGCCAAGTGGGAATAACTAGAATCAGCAAACTAGCCTATATGGGCTTTAGGGCTCAGTTTCCCTTGTAAAGCCATAATAAAATAGCATGATGCTTCATGCTTAAGGACCTGGGTTTGATTCCCTGCAAAAACACACCGACACCCCCCCCACACACAAACACACACAGCATGCAATGGTGATTGAGACTGTGTATGAACATGCTCTTCCAAGGCTTGTCCTCTTCTTCCTGCAACTTGCAAACGTGTTTCCCCTACCCCTTCCAACATTCTTAACTCTGAGAGTAGAGTGACGTGTCCCTGGCTGCTATTGTACCTGTTGAATTTTGTCACCTTTTGATGTTTCCACAATGGCCAGTGAACTCTTCTTGCATCACCAGGGCTGTGACGTATTTGGTATGGAGTAGCAGCTCAGTATATCTTCTGAGTGAAGGTGGAATTGCTGTGTGAGGCAATAGTTTCCAAAGCCACCGTTCCTCAGAATCATGGAGAAGTCTGGTTGCAGGTCTTTGAGATCCTTTGAATTAGAACCTCTGAGGAAGAGTTCTCCTGGAAGGGTCAGTGAGCCAGTCCCTCTCAAAGGTTTCATGAAAGAGCAGTAAGGCTAAAAGGAAAGTCCTTTAGAGTTCCAGGGATCTATATCCTGGTATATAGAGAACTCACTGACTGTTTGTGATTCCAAGTGAGCCAGTAACAAAATGCAACATGTGGGTCAGCAAGAGAAGGCACCCCACTTTGCTTTCAGCTAAGGAGGAGATGGCCATAGAGAAAGCAAGTTTGTGAGTTAGAGGAAAAGAGGACAACCCATGAAGAGCATGTTCACACACGAAGTCTCTTTTAAACCTCACCACATGCTATTTTATTACAGCTTCACAAACAAGGAAACTGAGGCCCAGATGGGCTAATTTGCTAGAGTCCTAAAGCTGGAGCTTGAAGTCAGGTCTCTGACCCCATCAAACCAGCTGACTTCCACCATGCCATAACCCTCTATCTTTCTGCACCACACACACACACACACACACACACACACACACACACACACACACACACACACACCAGGGACTGAACTCAGGACTTTGTGCTTGCTAGGCAGGCATGGCGCCACTGAGCTACATCCCTGACCCATAATCCTCTATTTTATATGGGAATCCTGATCTCCCAGACAGTTTAATAATTCTGGAACTGGCTGTGATGCCTGCCACATGACTAATCCCAGCACTCCAGAGGCTGAGGCTGGATTGCCAAGAATTCAAGGCCAGCCTGAACTACACAGCAAACCCCCGTCTCATACAAAAAAATCCTGAATATTCCATAGGCACCAAATGAATGCTTGTCTTGACAACTGACAGGAAAAAAGAAACCCTGAGGAAAAAAATTTTTTCTAATTTTTTATTTTTGCAAAAAATTTATTGGTATATTTTATTTTGGTTTTTTGAGACAGGGTCTCACTATATAGTTGAGACTGACCTGGAAGTCAGTACATAGCCCAGGCTGGTCTCGAACTCACAGCGATTCTCTTGCCTCAGCCTCCCGAGGGCTGGGATTACAGGTGTGCACCACCAAGCCCAGCATTATTGGTACATTTTAGATATACATAAGGATAACATTCATTAAAGGGAATTTGTACCTGTAAATTATATATATTGCTTCTTTTTTTCCCATTCCCCCTTCAACCCCTCTTTCATCCTTATTTACAAAAGCTTTGTTTCTATTTTTTCCTTCTTTTCTCTTTTTTCCTTGTCTTTTTTCCCTTTTCCCCTTGCCCTTCCTTGTTCTCATTTGAACAGTTTCTTCCCATTTCTCAATATCTATTATACATTTTGGTCCTTATTCCACTATTGGTTTCTCACACAAGAAAAATAATGTGGTATTTAAACATGAGTGTTCAATTTATTTCACTTAAGAGCATGGTCTCCAGGTGCATCCATTTACCTAGAAATGTCTCAAGTTTATCCTTTATATCTGAGTAGTGCTCCACTGTATAAAACACCCACATCTTTATCCATTCATCAGTTGATCAGCATTTACGCTGTTTCCAAGATTCAGCTATTACAAACTACACCATGTTATAAACATGGGTGTGAATATATCACTGTGGTATGAGGGGAAATATTCCTTTTTTTTTTTTTTTTTTTT